CCAGCTCTCTCAGTACTCTCGGGTGGATGTACACCACACATCCCTGATCTTTAGCAGAGAGAGGTAACCCAGTAGGCTCACCGGTGCAGCAGCTAGCATGGCAAGAGTCATAGGTATTCTGGGCATTCAAGTAGTAGATTAAGCTGCCTTAGTCATCTTAGCCAAAAATTTGAAGATTGGGCACTGAAAGATAAATAACTAGATTGAAAGAATTAAGTGCTATTGGCTTCTGAAACCAGATTATATGGTAGCTTCTTTAAGTAAAGGTTGTACTGTCTGTGTCTGTGCCACATTTAGTACTCTCTCCACCAGAAAGAACCTGTATAAGTTGTATGTGTGAAGGTCAGTAATCTTAAGCATGTTACACCCCCTGATAGCAAAGATGAGGCTTCTAATAGGACTGTGATCAACACTGTAAGCACATTTTAACATATTGTTGTCCTCCTTTGCCTATGTGAGTGCCATGAAGAGTTAAAAAATATAATACATTAGTTAAAGTTATGATGTTTCCCAATGTAGCAGCATTGTGATTTAAAAGTTTTGGACAGCTTGTGCAGACATGTGTATGAAAAAGCTTATTAAAAAGCATATCAATATGGAAATAGGCTTCAAACTGACCTTCTAAAATCTCTAATATTTCTGTTTGTTCAATTGTAAGTTTCTTGCAAAACTACTTCTAACTCCTGCCAAAATGACAGTCTTCTCTGACTCTTCCCCCCACCTTCCAGCAGCTTTGAATTCTGTTAAGTAATGTAAAAATGCCATTTACAAATGAGAGATTTATTCCATCCAGGCAGTCTGCATTTCTTCCAAAGCACAGGAGTCGTTCAGAGTCTTGCATTAGACCAGAACTTCTTTCTGGTATTTATGGATCAAAGTTGCATAAAATTTTTCTTGGGTTTTCAGAACTTCAGGCTCTGAGGAGTGGAAGGGCCAGGAATCTGTCTTCCTTTGCTGTGTTCAGATAGGAAAAAGCACATATGAAATGGAGGTATTCATTTGCCTTCCAGAAATTTGTACTAATGATTTAGAGTGTCTAACCAGATGTCTAGCTCTCAGTGAATTCCTCACTAAGTTCAACATGAAAGCTTTTTCTGATTTTTTTTCACACAACATGGTGAAATTTGCCTTTTTTCGAAGCAGGGATGTGACTTGAGAATTGCTTACAAAATGTTTTTGAAGAGATTCCAGAAAATCAAAATATCTTTTGTGGTAAATTTCACTTCAAGATAAATGTAGTTTAGAAAATACCACTGTGCAATTCTTTACCTTCTGTGTAAACAGAGAAAAGTCAGTGTCATGGTTTAAGCCCAGCTGGCAATGAAGCACCACACAGGCGCTCACTCACTGCCCCTCCAGTGGGATGGGGGAGAGAATCAGAAGAATAAAAGTGAGGAAACTCATGGGTTGAGATAAACAGTTTAATAGGTAAAGCAAAAGCCACGCATGCAAATAAAGCAAAACAAGGAATTTGTTCACCACTTCCTGTCTGCAGGCAGATGTTCAGCCATCGCCAGGAAAGCAGGGCTCCATCGTGAGTAACGGTTTCTTGGGAAGACAAATGCCATAACTCCAAACGTCTCTCCACCCCTTCCTTCTTCCCCCAGCTTTATATGCTGAGCATTCCATCATATGGTATGGAATATCCCTTGGGTCAGTTGGGGCCAGCTGTCCCAGCTGTGTCCCCTCCCAACTTCCTGTGCACCCCCAGCCTACTCGCCGGTGGGATGGGGAGAGAAGCAGAAAAGGCTTTGACTCTGTGTAAGCACTGCTCAGCAGTAACGAAAACATCCCTATATTATCAACATTGCTTTCAGCACGAATCCAAAGCATAGCCCCATACTAGCTACCATGAAGAAAATTAACTCTACCCCAACCAAAACTAGCACAGTCAAATACCCCTTAAGAGTGTAGCATTTCTCTTTGCATAGTAGTATATTGCAAAGCATGTGTTGTGTTATTTTGGGGTTGGTCACCTGCTTGTTGCAGTTGCCCAAATGAGCCAACTGTTTGAGATCTACCTTATTTTTTACCAAGCTGATTTATTCCCCCCAACACCCCAGCTTTTCACTCAGATATTTCAGCTTGTTGGCATTGTACAGCTCATGGGCCAGAAAGATAACCCCACTTTGAAAACAACAGATGAAGAGCATATTGCAAAAGAGGAAAGTAAACAGCCATCAGTCTGGCCCTCAAAACAGGCAGTGTTTACCAGAAAGAAATAAATCTCTCTCCCACTTCCCAGCCATCATGGTGGCTGTTCTTAGGAGGAAGTAACTCAGCTCAAAGCCAGGTGGTTGTATTGTCTATACCAGAGGCTCCCAAACCTTGTCATAACAGCTGCCAGAGAAGTTAAAGAGTCATCTTTGGTTTTGACCTTAAAACAAACTGACTTGGTACACAGCAAATCTTGAATGAAATCTCTGCGAAGCTTGTCATCTGCGTTGAGATGGCAGTAAAAACATTTACTGATTGTTACATACGGCAGGTATAATCTTGCACCCTTTTCCCTAGCTTTATTGTCTGTGTGGGACTTTGAAAGAAATGAGAACATGCTTTGGTACTAAGAAAGTTTTAGAGAAAAAGATAGTGAGGATTAAGGCTCTTAGAAATAAGATGCCATTTTAATTAATGGTAGAATCTTCTTTAGGGCTTGTACATTAAAATGCTAGCTTTATGCTACAAAGACACATCTCAAATAATGTTATCAATGCCTTGAAATGTTAGCAGATTATTTTCAGGTAACATTTTCCACTCAGATCTTTCTTTGAAGTGCAAACTGAAATCATTTGCACAAGGGGGAAAAAACCTTCATTCCAGAAAACCTCAAGTAGTAGCAAAGTCATCATGGTAACCCTTTGATTGCCTTATTTGCATAATTTGATTACAATCTGGTAGGCATTTCGTTCCCACATAGATCCTCCAGTCTCTATAGTTTTAAGAAGTTTAACTTTGGAAATGGCAGCATCTCACCTTGAGGTGTGCTTTTGTATCACGCTTACTTGCTTAGCTATAATGGAGACAGAAGTAATTAGATTCCGTTTCAAGTACCTTCTTGTTCCTTTTCATAGGAATAGATGATGGAGCTGGGTCCTGCAGGGTTTGGGTGTTTGGCTTTTCATTGTTCCCCTTCCCACAAGTCAACTGCCTTTTACATGTTAAGCAATAAGATGTATTTTGTTTCAGTCTGATTACTCAGAGTATAAACACAGAAGTAGATTGCGTGCTTTTGCTCCTGTATCACAAAAGGAAGGGAGTAGGATTTATTCATATGAAACTTCATTTGATTCTACCCTGAGATTTTTATATTGAAAACTACTTTTGTGTTTGTGACTTTTTCAAGGTGCTGGAAACCCAAATTGCAAAGTTGCAATTGTAATGGGCAAAACCCCAAACTCCTCAGCATCCAGGTAAGGAATTCCTAGGAAATTCAGAGAGTTACCTAAAACTTGTTTCCTTGAGGAGTCATTGCTTGCAAAAATCTTGTTACGTGAAATACCATTAATTGCCTTGGTCAGTTGGATATGCTCGTGAATTACAGGTGACTTTTAAACCTGTGTATGTTGTCTGTTGCTGACCAAGCTCCTGTTTCGCTGTCGGCTGCTGGTGACTGAAGCCTCCCAACCTTTTCACTGTTACCAGCTTGCAGTGGCATGCTTCCCCGCCTCCACTGCACCACCTGTAGTGTTTGTGCAGCTATGTGATGAATTGGATCAGGAAACTTTTGGGTGTTCACTAACTTTATCTTGGTCATACTAGTTTTAGTTTGCATCAGTTGTTCAACCAACAACTATCTCTGGCTTACAATTTGTTTTGTATTGAGAATTGCTTGCTTAAATAATAAAACCAAAACTTTTCAGAGCCTCCCTGAACAGAATGAGACCTGAAGTTATCTACTAAGTTTTTCATAAAGTTATCTGTAGGTATAGAAAGTTAAGTCTGAAACATAGGATGTTTGTTATGTTAAGTTGTGTGAGCAGAGAGTATTGCACATTTTTAATCAGACCTACTCATTCCATTCCTGTATGTGTAAATAAAATACTTCCCTCTTCTTGTTTAAAATAAATATGTTGTTCAAGTCTTAGTACCAAACTAAAATTGCCTTTTACAAAAACTTATGCAAGTGATGAATAAAATGCTTTGTGACTGGTTCCATTAAAATCACACAGCTTGCCGTACAAGAGAATTGGAATGTTTATATCTCTAAGTTGGATTTTAGCCCAAATTCCACTGATTATCTTGAGTTTCTAGATTTGGCTAGATTCTGTTGAGAAGTAAACAGTAACTTGCTTAGAGCATACAGGATGGTTTGTCCAGTGGCTGTGCAGACAGTGGCATCTATTGAGCTCTTGAAAGCTGAACAGAAGTTCACGGAGGGGTTTACAGGATACTGCGCTTGCTAGAACTGGAGACTGAATTCAGGGACCTGGGATGTCACCTCCAGTTCTGCGTGACCAATAACTGACTTTAAATACTCTGAAGGAATTTAAACATGGGGATTTATTTCCTAAACTATAGGCAAGCCAAGATGATGATGATGATGATAAACATGTTTTGAGAACAAAAAAGAAAGTGGGGAAGGTGGGGAGTTGACTGGGTGATACAGAAGTACTTGCACAGAAGAGACAGAAGTAGTAGTTTTTCGGTCGTGGTGCGTTAGATGCCAGTAGTACCTTTTCACTTGACTGGTGATTCAAGGAGTGTTGAAGAATGCGTGCCACACTGCATGCAGGCAGGAGGGCTGTAGTCAGTATAGGTAAATCTCAGCATTGGGTTTATGTAAGTGCTAAATTGAGGCTAGAAAATAAAAGAAGTGAAGGGAGGGGACAGAAGGGAGGCTCAAAGTTAATCTTGAGCATTTTATCTTGATCAGGTACCAGCAGCACAGTATGATCATTGTTCCCATGGACACTCCAGGGCTGAAGCTGATAAGACCCCTCTCAGTGTTTGGCTATCTGGGTAGGTGATAATATTTATCAGCTATATGTGTATTAATTAGTAAACTTGGGAGCTGCAATAATACTAATAAATATTGTATATGAAATAAATCAGTAAAATACATATATAGAAAAAGGGTTCGGAATTGAAGGCCTGTATATTTATTTTCCTTTGTTTTACCCTGCTGTTGTGTTTCTTCTGTCCCTGCAGATGAAATCCATGGAGGACATTTTGAGATACACTTCAATGATGTGCGAGTACCCATCTCCAGTATAATACTGGGTGAGTTTCAGTATTAATTCCTTTTTAATACATACAGCAATGAACCAAGTTTTATGAAATGGTGGTTTATTTTATGAATCACCATAAATTATTGTAAACAGCTTGGTCAGTTAAGCCAGGGTCTCAAACACAAGTAAGAGGGAATCCACTTTTCCTTTAGCAGTCTACCTGTTGCTTGAATGTAACTTGTTTAGAGCAGAAAGGTGACTGAAGGAAGCAGGGCAGTTGTAGCTGTCATGTGAAAATCACTTCCCTGAAGTAGAGGAAACACTGTCAGTCAGTGGCGGTCTTTCCCCAAAACCGTTTATCACAGACTTTACAGACTTTTAAAAAGAGCGTTTTGCTGTAGTCTGTGGCCATCCAAGCCTGGGTGCCTGCAGACTTAGCAGAACTGGAAAAAAAAAGAAAGAATTAGCAGGCCAGCACTGTGACCTTCTGCAGGGAGAACTTTGCTCTACTTCTCTCACTTAGAAGAAATCAGCATTTATAGCATTTCCTCTCTGCTGTTTTTATTTCCCTGAAAGAGCTTTCTCTCTTGAGTAGCCCTAGGACCTGGAAACCTCAAAGTCTTCCCCCATATTCTCATACCAAATCTCATAGATGTATTTTTTAATGTAAAATTAACAACATTTAAATTAAATCAGGTAAATCATACCCTCTCAGAAACGATCTTAGAGTGCACTTTGTGGTGTAACTATTATCAGCAGTGTGTCAATATAAATCTAGTTGGGGGTAAACAAACACAACAGTTCTGCAAAATAAACTTTTAGGAAGTTTGCTTCTAGCTCTGGTGCTGGGCAGCCACTTCTGCTGAGAGCCATGGATCGCTTCAAGCGGGAACCAAGGAGCTTGCATATGCCTGTTTTTCTTTCCAACCAGGTGAGGGCAGGGGCTTTGAGATAGCTCAAGGTCGGCTTGGGCCAGGCCGTATTCATCACTGCATGAGGTCCCTTGGTGCGGCTGAAACTGCTTTACAGATAATGTGCCAGCGTGCAGGACAGAGGGAGACTTTCGGGAGGAAACTGTATCACCACGTAAGTGTGTTCCCTCTTTGTCTCAATTCGCATGCACCAGTCATCACCCTTTGTTTTGCCCACACAGAATCTTGTGGCACTGATAATGGACAGTGCAATAGATGTGCCCTAACCTTGAATTCCTATTCATAATGCCTCAGCTGGCAAAGGAGAAAACCACATTGCGAAGCTTCCATTTTTCACTGTAACCTACAGGTTTTTTTTTTTCTTTCTTCTTCTTCCCCTTGCAATGAATTGGATATCCTTTGCTGGATTTGAACACAGGTTTTGTCATCAGGGTTTTTTCTCTGCTTTCATTGATCGGTTCAGACAGGTATTTTTTCAGGCATACAGCTTGTGCTTCTGTAGTTACAAACGGAAGTCACCATTTTTGTGTAACGAATTTGTCACCTAGACATCTCCGTTCATGATTACCGTAGACACTCAAGGGTCTAAATTTGACTAAAAATTTTACTTTTCTGATCAATTATTTGTACTTACTTGTGAAAGTACAGACCAAACCAAGGCCATATTGGGATTTTTGGTCTTATCACGCTCTGGAATTGAAATACCATTAAGTAAGAGAGCGCTTGCTAGAATAATAAAAATATGATAGTCTGCTTTTTATAGGAACCATCAGCATTTAGTAGTTGGCCTATCACATTTCAAGTGTTCCTCAATCTTATCCAACAGCTGGGATGACTTTATTGGAAAAAACAAATAAAGGCAACAGAAAGAGGAAACTGAATTAGTGTCTGGCACAGGTTATAGAAAATTGTTTGTACAGATCCAGAGGGAATAACCTTACAATATCCATTTTCCAGTCATGTCATTGCCAAACTTCCATTCATGACCATATCCTAGAATTAATGGGTTGGATGAGGTACACTCGATTTCTCAGAAGCTCATTAAAGTAAAACCAATGTTTGTTGAAGCCACAGGCAAGACCTGGAGACCAGCTGCACACCCGGCCTAGGTTCTTCACAGCTCTAGGATAGCTAAGGAAGAGGCTGTTGGCTGCCTTGGATAACAGGCTGACTGTTGGTTACAGCAACTTCCACCCGGGCTCAGACCACCTTTGTTGGCATGAGCTAAGCTGAGTCCCCAGCCTTTGCCATGAAGCGAGTGCTGGACATTTGCTCGTGTCTCCTGCAGCTGCCAAGGCTGCAACATCCACGGTCCAGGCAGGAGCATGTGCCCGAGGCTCGCTCAGGCTCCCAACAGCTTTTGCACTGACAAGCACCATGTGAACATTTTTTTTTTCTGCTGTGGTATGTTGGCTGCAGAGGGGAATTGGCTAAGAGGAGCAGGGAAGGGCTGCCAAGCTCATATAACTTCATTTGGATCAAGGGAGCTACTAATTTATCATCAACATGAACAGACAGATGCAGGTACCGCCCTGCAGCTGTTCGCCTGGGTGTGTAACACACCACCACCACCAGTGGCTTAAGCAAAACAGAACCAATTCCTCTCCCCTTTCAGCCCCCAATTTTTGTATACTGGGGGATGTTACACGGAGAGAGGGTTGTGAGTCCTGGTAGTGGGTAAAGGAAAGCAGGAGTAAAGAGCAGGCTCTGAAGGGCTTCAGGAAAATGGCTAGCAGGCCTGACCAGGAAATGAAAGTGTGCCAGAATCTGGAGTTTTTCCCCTTTTCCTCTTTCCTGCCAGGAAGAGAACTGCTCTATCTTTAGTCTTTCTGTCAGTCAAGTGTTTTCTTTTTTTTCTCCTCATATTAGATTACATGCATCAAGCTTGCTTTAATTTGCACAAGAGCATCTCTAAATGACCGAACATGCACGAGAAATAAGAGCATCTTCCTTTGGGCAGGTTTACCCCGATGCGCTAGGAGGCATTAACTGACTTTGCACTTGTCGGCTTTGGTTTCTGCAGGAAATTGTTGCCCACTGGATTGCTGAATGTCGCCTTAGCATAGAACAGGCTCGACTGCTTACACTAAAAACAGCCAGCAAGATCGACATGTTGGGCAACAGAAAAGCAAGAAAAGAGGTAAAATGTTTTTGGCAGCCTTAGGCTAGGACTTGGGGGATGCAATACCTGTGGCATTCAACTGGTGGAAATGTGTAAGTTCAAACATATCACTGAACATTATTCTTCTAGTTGTAGAGCATAACTTCACGTTGAAAATAGACAGCCTTAAGATGTGCTTCTGATTGTCACAAGATTGGAAAGTGTTCTCAGTTAAAAACTTTGAGATCAATCTGATGAAGTATTTAAAAATTAAATAAGTTCAAGTACAGCTCACTTGTCTCAACACAATGAGATAGTTTTGGGTGACTGGAAACAGCTTTACCATACCTAGGAAACAGGAACAGCAGAGCTCTCATCCAAGCCAAAGAGGAAGGAATGTACTGTAAGATAACAATCTTCAGTAGAACCGTTAGATAACTATTTTCACCTGCTTATAAAAAAAAACCTGTTACTGATAACATGAGTTCTAACTACAGGTAGCCATGACCAAAGTGGTTGTCCCTCGAGCTGTGCTTAAAGTGATTGACTGTGCAATCCAAGTGTGCGGTGGAGCTGGAGTTTCCCAGGATTTTCCTTTGGCGTCTATGTGAGTAAAGGGAAACTTGCCTGTTGATCCTAAGCATTGCTTTTCAGATAATATTATAACACCAATACATGCTCTTTCACCTCAGGTAGCCCAAAGTAGTGGTCCATATGCCCTTAAGTTATAAAACTTAAACTTTGCTTTTATATTTTACTTGCAATGCAATTGCATTGCTTTACTCTTACAAAAAAAAAAAAAAACCAAATCCAAAAAACCACCCACCAAACCAAAAAAAGCTGGACCTAAAATAGTTCTTATTAATCAGCAGTGTAGAAGATCTGTTTCTAAAGCTCAATCTTACCCCTTACGGCCTTGCGGAGAGGCAAGTCTTCCAAATTTCCAGCCCACACATCTCAATCCTGCCAGAAAGAGCTTGCTGCGGTATCATCTCCTGTGCAATAACTCTTTTCAAAGAGACAATTGTTAAAAGGATGGCTATAGCAGACATAGCACTGAGAACTCCTGCTGTCAGCCTGGCTTGCTGCTGTGGCAGGATTAGAAACCTACCCTTAATTCAGCTCTTCCGCTGCAGGTTTGCTCATATACGGACCTTGCGCCTGGCGGATGGGCCCGATGAAGTTCATCTCTCAACAATTGCAAGGTGGGAGCTGCTTGAGCAGTCAAAGCAGCTAACTGCGAAAATCTAATGTCAGCACAAAGCCATCACAAATGGGTGGAAGATTTAGGAAAGATTTTTTTCAGTGCAATAATGTTGTTTAAGGTAAAATTGGGTGAATACAAAAACTTTATTCTAGCTTGAAGCAATATGTATTCTCTCATTCTTTACTTGTAATTATTATACTCAATCACGGGCTTGCTTTTAAAAATTTGCAGAATGCCATGTAAGTATCAGAATGTGCCTGGGTTCTTTATAACATTAAATAAAACCTATTTTCTAACAGGTCTAAAGTGCTGTATGTGCTCTGAGCCAGAGCCACCTTCATCCTTTTATTGTAGGCAAAGCAGTTTTGACTCAGCTGTTTTACCCAATTTAGTTAATGACAGCTAGGATGAACTTTTAATTTTTGATTAAATGACAATTAAACACTTAGAGTAATGCCTGCCTTTTCCCCTTTCCAAAGCTCAGCTGCAGTCCTACTCTCTCTCCTCCCCAGTTCCTGCTCTCAGCTGCCCTTTTCACTAAGGCTGCACCCGGTCCTTGCCCCACCTCCCTCAAGTGAGGCCAGCATCAGTGTGTAGCAGTTTGTCTGCTCTTCCTTTCTTACTCTTCTGCTTTGTTCCTCCATTTTCCTTGTAGGTGCCTCTTGTCTTCCCTTGCATCCTTCCTTTTGTCTCCTTTTGTGCATCCTTACAAGCCTCCACCTGCCTCAGGGCCCCAGCTGCTCCCACCCTTTCTTAAATATGTCTAAGCACATGTGGCACCTTCCCCTCTAAGGAGCTGAAGTTTCAGCTGGAACCAACCATAGACTGGCCCCAGGGCAGTTCACAGCTTCCTCTGCTACCAAAACAGGCTCTGCCATTTATGCCAAATACACCTTTGTGAAGGTCAGAGTTCCTCAGCTCTGCGTCCGTAACAGTCCTCTTCAACGTCACTTACTTACACAGGAACAGTACAGAACCAGGCAGATGACAGCATGCTGCACCATCAGTAGTTCCACTTCCTATAGACAATCACTTTTCAACTTATACAGGGGTTGATCAACAATTACCTTAATGACACAAGGGTTTCCTTTTTGCATGAACAAACAAGCCACCATAGCACAGTGTTGGAGCTTGAAGAGAACACACTGCCTTTTGCTGCAGCCAGTTCTGTCCTGGAGCCTACAGCATTCACCTCAAGGGTGTTCCAGCTGAAGCTGCTGAAGTCACTCAGCATGGGACCTGAATATAGAATACTTAGAACTTTGAAGCTTTCCACAAATAAGTTTACCTCACAGCAGTTCATTGTACCTAAAACCAAGATTATAATCTTTTGAGAAAGCAGCAATTATTGTTTATGTTTCTATCCATCTTCATTTCCTTGTTTCCTGCCAAGATTATTTCCTGGGAAGCTGAGATTGTCAGCTTGTCAAGTGGCTGAAGTGCAGTTCAAGTACAAAGCAACCTGTGCCATACCACTACTTGTGGTTTAGGAGTTCTGCTCCAGGCTGTCAAAACCTGCACACTGTGTCTTTCCAAGCAAGAACACCCAGGAACTCTTCAGCCACACTCAAATGAAGGTCTCTGACCACCCTTGCTTCCCACACCTTCAAAGAACAGCTACAGAAGAACACCACCTTTATCTCATTAACAAGGCTCTTAATTCCCTTTATTTTAAAATTTTATGTACATATGAATGATCTGTATAATGTACACTCAATATAGAAAGTTTTTATATACTGGATAATGTATAGAACATTTCACAATTACACTAATTTCTTACATAACATGTCAACTTTAAGGGTTTTTTTCTGAAGCTTTGTCAATTTGGTCAAGCTTGTTATACATATGAATGTCTAACGCTGTTTGATCTCGGGAAGAAGATAATGTTAATGATTAAGGACATCAGTGAACTGGTGCAAGGACAAACCCTGTGCACATCATGTTCAATGGGAGTGATCACATCAGACTGGGAAAAGAAGGGATGCCCTTTTAGTGCGGGTCAGTGAGGTCAAAGTGATTTTAGCCCAATTCCTCTAGACTGTAGGTCAACTCCAGTCATGCTAATTCATAAAATATAAAAACTAGGAAAGTTTGATTCACAGTCTTGTAAACAAATATAAAGGAACAAAATGTGCTTACGTACAACAAGAAAAAAAATTCTTGTGTACCCATTTCAGCTGATCCACAGAGTGCTTTCTTGTGTTACAGTGTGATAGTTAGAATCACTGACATTTTCCTAAGGAAAAAAAAAACCACACAGTCATAGAAAAAGGAATAACACTGTCATTAAATGCTTGGAAAAGCAGTAAATTCACTTCAATGTGTTAGAGGAAAGCGCTGTTCCTCATCACTGGCCGGTCTGCCTTTGTCTCTTTCACAAGGATTTCCAGTCCTTAGCTGACATCTCCCACTTCGTTGTCTACCGGGGGTGGTACGTTGGGCATTACAGATGATGTCGTCCCTGCAGTAAGGTAACCAGCAACTCCAGGGCCTTTTGGGAAGAAAACAGAATATTCAACATCAGTTTTGAGTCTCAAAAGCCATTGAGCAGCTTTATTCCCTCTGGTAACACTCAAATACATAATTTAAGTCAAATGCTCTTGTTTGAGGTGTCTGGTTAAGAGTTTTCATTTAGATTCTTTGAAATTTAGCAACACTAAGAATTGAGGCATCTTAGTCCACTAAGTGGAGTAGCTTGTGGAAGACATTCTCAGACTTGCTCAGCATTTTTTATTCTGATGCACCAACCAAGTTACAAAAGAACCTCAACCACCAGCATTATCCGTCTCACCTTCCACCATGGAAGTGGTAGGGAAGAGGGGGTGGCCTGCCTTTGCCAAGCAAAGGACCTGCTTTAGAAGGAAAGTGAGTCAGGCATGCATTCCACTGCTGGGCTTCACATTTATGCTTTCAGTGTGGCAACAGTTTTTCCAGCTGCATGTTTAATAGGAAGTTCAAGGGGCTGCCCCATGAACAAGCAGAACTGCCTTATGCTTGTCTAGGCAGCTCTTTATGCCTTCAGGTAGAAAAAGTTAACAGCATTCTTGGGATACACAAACTCCGTACTGGAGATACAGAACTCCTTACCACTAATAAAGATTTATGTCAATTACTATAGGGACAGTCAGTTTTACAGTGCAGACAAAGTCTCTCTCCCTCAAAGCTTAGACTTTCCAATTTAGTCATATAGACATTTCAAGAAATGCAATAAAAGCTCATGTTGCAGCACAAGGTGTTTCAACAGCAACTCTTATCAGATTAGTTACTGTAGAAAGCCACCACCCCACAACATGTTCCTGCAGCAATACAGTGAGCAACTTGGTATTAGTAGTGTAGGCCTTCTAAAAAAGGTCTAATCTTCAACACAGTAAGTTCCACTGGTTCCTTTGCTCTCACCCCTTAAGTCATCCTGACTGCATTTTCCCAAATTTACTACCCCTTCATGCCCCACACACTATGGCCTGGAGCCAGAACATCAGACCATGGTTTGTCTCCTTGCCAACAGTCCTGCACTACTACTGCAAGCAAGAGAGCAAAGCAAGCAGTGCCTGTGGCAAAAAAAAAAAAAGCGCTCTGGCTTCAGAAGGGGACTTCTCTTTGCCAGCCCATTGGTAGAAGCTGCCAAGAGCCAGAGCTTGGCTTCTACATGTTCTAGTGCAAAAATTCCGCAAGTTCTCTTGTCCCTCAAATTCTTCCATGATGGAAGATTCTTAATGTGCTTCTGAAGTTTAGTTCATCTGTAGTACCAGCAAGTATCAGTCACTGCAGTTTTCTGCTCCTGTGTGCTTTTAGGAGGCAAGTTTCAGTGTTTCAAAGTTTTGGGACCACAAGTTTATTACAGCTTATGACATGCATCTATTACTCCGAATGCAGCAAGTGCAGCATGTGTTTTGCAACATAGTATCTACCTGCTTTAGAGAGCTACACAGAAGTTAGCAAGCTGCCTGGCAGAGCAGATCTAAAGCCCACTTCTCAGGTGAAGGGGACTGCTGCCAGTTAGAAGGGAAGGAGAAGAGACACCTGAGGGAAGAGAAATAAGCAAGGGAAGTTTCAAGGGAAGTGCAAATAGCAAAGCAATTGAAGCAAGACATAAGGCAGAATATGAGATAAGACAGGTTAAAAATAAAGCTTGTAGTTTGGTTTCCATCTATACTTTGCACATTTCTACAGCATCTTCATTCTACATTTGCAAGCGCTTAAACATCAGGCAATTAAATGCAGCACAGGCCTTAAGGCAGTTGAATAGCTGTGTCACTCCCAGTCTCAAGCCTGACAACATTTGGTATCCTTTCAGTTCTTAGCCAGTAATCAGACAGCATTTACTTCATATTTCTAATTTATACTGTTTACGAAACACCAAAGAAGTTCAGTACCAACTGAATCAAGTGTTCAAGTATTCAAAGTGGCATGAAATGGTACAATAAACAGAAACCTCCTGTTCAGAGCAAAAGCACTGAGTCTTTCCCATATGGAACAACACATCAAGTGTTGCAATATACCTACTCTCAAAATATTAGGCACCTGCTTCTAGAACGTCTTAATTCCTGACTTGAAAGGCTCTTGCTTCATTTTATCGAAGTACAATGCCAGTATCTTGCAATAGAAATTTTCCTGTCTGTATGGCCATTTGCTTTATACCTCATTAATTCAGTTATGCTCAACAGCTTTACTGAGATTCCCATATTGGGTGCATATTCCATGCAGCACATGGAAGTGTCCATATTGGCTTGTTGCAAAGGACTTCAAATCCTGACCCAAGAGGCTAAACTTTTAAGACCATGTGATTGTTCAGCTGATCGCTATTGAGGAGTCAGAAGTTTGCATCATGCATTGCTTTAGACACAGTTTGCTACAATGTCACTACATAAGATACTTTCAGATACAGCAAGTAATTTGTGATAGAGAAGTTGCAGACTGTGGTACAGCAGAATGGAGTCATTACAGATGCGTCTATCAAGTGGTGCATATGAGCGAGCGAAGGAAGAACCAGAACGTGATTTGCTATGATGTAACTGTTCTAGGATTATGTCCCCAACATGCCATTACCAGCAAGGAAGTTCACATCCGTTGCCACCCTTTGGTGTGCGCATCACATGCACAGCTAGAATGCTCCCCTGCACCGCTAAGTGGGACTGAGGGGGCACCAGCAGCGGACTCGCCCAGGGTACGCCACAGGTGCCATTCAAGTACATGCCGCAAG